TATACGGTGTATGTGTTTAATTTATTACATTTCAAAACAAAAGTAATTTCAAAACTTCATAATTACATATTATAGATTATGTAATGTCTTCAAATAAAACGCATTACTTTTATATTAGAGATTTGTATGAATTTGCGACTTTCAAAATTTAAAGGATTTCATTGTGATATGTTTTTTTAAGAATCAGTTAAAATGTCTACCTTTTTTTTTCATTTCAATTAATGTATTCTATGTCTTCCTACATTCTTTTAAGAATTTTCTATAAATATTTTATTTTATAAAACTGTAGATTTTATATTTGTTTTGATTAGAAAAATACAAGGCAGTTTCACAGTGTTTACGATAAATGGCTCACAGTAAAAATAAGTTTTAACCGCACCAAAATTATTAGCAGCCATTTTTATTCAAATTGTTAATAAGAAGACTTCATTTAATATACGTTTTAAATTTTAAATACGTTTCATGCTAATATATATATACGTATATATATATATATATGTTTGGTACACATATTTTCGATTATTTGTCCATTCGATCAGTTACGTATTCCGATAAGGTTTTGTCGCGAAAATAAACTTGATATTGTTGAATGTAGAATTACATAACTAAGCCTAATTCATCTCGTTTTAGGAAAAATATTCATTTCCCTATGATACTGCAAACCGACATTGACTAATCAAAGGACTTATTGTGGCAGAAGTTATTTACAAACACGTTTTCTTCCAACAACATATCGTATCACCAATCTAAGATTTCGTCACTTTGTTCCTATTTGTATTAAAATCTTCACTAGATGGAAACCACATTGATTTACACAGTTGAAAATAAGAGACAAAGACCTTTTATTACATGTTTAGATTACTAGCCTACGAGTTCTCGAAGCTGAACTATAGACAATTAAATTACTGCATGGCAACTGAGGTTGAGAAACTGTGATTGGCTAGAAATAAATCAAGCCAAAATTGTATATTAGTTACAAGCCAAATTATTGCAATTTTGTTCAATCGTATTATTACTTTCATTATAGGACCTAAGAATGTCGTATTATGCTTGTTTGTTTTAGCAAAAAGGCTACAAAATACGCTATCTGTGTTTACAATGGGAAATCGAATCACTTACGGAAAAGAGGCTGTATCAACTTTGAGGGAGGAGAAGCTGTGAAAACTGCTCAAATTATTTTAATACTGAGGTAGAACGTGAGAGAATATGATAATTCTGAGGAAAGAGAGGTGGTGACAACTGTTCAAATGACTTTAATAATTTGGTAGGATGTTAGAGCTCTGATAGAAGAAAATTTGTGACTGATGTTTTAGTAAATTTGATACTGTGGTAGGATGAGAGACAATGTGACTTATCTGACAGAAACGATTTTGTGGCAGCTATTCATGTGACTTTAATACTGTGATAGGATTTGAGAGAATTTGACAACTCTGAGGGAGAAGAGATTGTGACAACTCTGAGAAATGAGAGGCTGTGACAACTGCTGAAATATTGAGATAGGATTTGAGAGAATGTGATAACTCAAAGGGAAAGAGGTGTTGACACTGTTCAGGTGAATTTATTACGCTGGTGAAATATAAGAGAATTGATACCTCTGAGGGAGGAGAAGATGTGAGAACACTTCAGCTGAGTTTAATACTGTTGTAAGATGTTAGAAAACGTGACAACTCTGAGGAGAAGTGGCTGTAATAACAGGTTTCGTGACTTTTATACTATGGTATGACGTGAGAGATTCTGAAACTATGAAGGAGGAAAGTTTCCGACAAAAGCCTTTTGTGATTTCAGAATTGTAGAAAAATATAGCAATATTAGGCAACTTTGAGGGAAAAGAGGTTGTGAATACTGATAGGGATACTTTAATATTGTGGTAAGATATTGAGAGAATATGATGTATCTGAGAGATGAGAATTCGTGAAAAATATTCAAGTAACTATAATACTTTGATGTACAGAACATTGCAGATACTCTTGGGAAATGCTTTTCCCACCTTTCCAGCACTTCTGTTTCTTGTGCTGAGCGATTGCCCCTTTTCTTTTGGGTTGATAGATTCTATGATTATAATCGTTCATTTACACTGATGGAACTCAAGCTTGCTCTTCATCGATATGGTAGTACATCAGTCAGACCCAATGACATTCACTATGAGATACCGCACCATCTCTCTCCTACCTCTCTTGCTCTTCTTCTGAGGCGAAGTTCTTAGGGTCTATCTTTGACTGTACGCTTATTTTCATTTCTCACATTAAGCAGCTTCGTGTCAAGTGTACAAGGGCACTGAACATCCTCCGTGCCCTCTTTGCCACCTCTTGGGGAACAGATCGAGTGGCTCTGCAGGGGGGCCTTCTGCACTTCAGCAGTCTAGAGTTTGTACACTGAGTCCCACGAACCTCCTCTTCATTTTCGTTGTTTGCAACTTTCTTTACAATATGCTACCAAGCATCGATGCTTACCATAGCATCCCACCTGGGGTTGTGTCTTTCTTCCTATGTGGGTTGTGCTCTTTTGGAATAGACGGTCTGCCATCCCTCCTCTTGGTCTTTGTATCCAGGCGCAGCTGGCCGAATTGGGTCTGTCCGATGATCATCCCATCCCGCCATGGCTCATTACCATACCAGCCTGAGATCTTTCTTTGAGTCATCTCAGGAAGGTCCTGATTGGAAGTATCGTTTTCTCTTTTGCCGAACATCTTTCGAATCATTCTTCTGTTCCCGTTTTCACGGATGGTGTGAAATCAGGTGACTCTGAGGTCTCTGCCATGATTTATTGTAGCTCGGTGGTTGCTCACAGGACCTTCTCTACAGATTTTATGTTCACTGCCGAGTTGTATGCCATTTCTCTTGCCTTGAATCACATACAGAATCCTTCCAAAAGTCATGGGACACAGTTAGTCATGAATAATATATGTCTTTATTTCAAGAAATTAATAGCATGTTGACCCGCCTTTGAGCTTAATGACTGCTTCAATGCGCCATGGAAGACTGTCTACCAATTTTTGGTAGAAAGCTGGTGGTATTGTGCTCCACTCCTACTTTAAAGCATTAGTAAGCTCCACTACTGAAGAGGGCCGCCTTAATTCTGCATTCCAGTTCATCCCAAAAATATTTTGTCGGGTTAAGGTCGGGGGATCTGCGCTGGCCACTGCAATGTTCTGATGTTATTCTCTTCAAATCATGTTCATAATCCTTGATTTGTGACATAGAGCATTATCATGTTAGAAGGTGTAAAAGCCAGTATCATAAAATTGCCATAATGTAGGAAACACAGAATCGTTCAGAACATCAATTTAGGATTCAGCATTCATGGATCCATGCACTGCGACCAATGGACCTAGTCCATGCGATGAGAACTCCCCCCCCCCCCAGACCATGATACCACCAACCTTCACTGTTGAGACAACACACTCAGGTAATAAGCATTCTCCAGGCATCCTCCATACCCAAATAAGTCCACCAGACTGGAAGAGCATGTAGCGTGACTCGTTGCTTCACAGGACCGATTTCCATTGCTCCATAGTCCAGGTTTGGTGTGCGATGCCCCATGCCAATCGACGGTGTGCATTTGTTATCAATGACTTGTGGGCTGCAGCTCTTCTATGAAAATTCATGGTATGCAGCTCTCTACGTATTGTTTAAACATTTATAAGATTGTCTGTGGCTGCTCGTATCACCAAACACAGATTCTCTAGGGTCTGATGGCAAGATGAGGTAACCAGCTTTCTCAGGACACGTCGGCTCCTGTAAGTCAATATTTTACGCCTAATTGGTTGTTTCTTTGGCTCATTGTCATCTGTGGAATTCCATTTCTTCAACACGGTGCCATTTGTAGACCTGGGTATATTTAATTGTTGCACCATTGCACGTAGAGACTATTTCTCGAAATTACATCCAACTATCCTTCCCCCTCTGGAACTATATTAGCTCTTTCCGTGTACTCATTGTTCGATGTACAAGTTCGAAATGACTTCCGAACAAACCGCTGATCACTTTTATAGGCCAAACTAAATGCATATTTCGTCGTCACACCCATTTCCCTACAATCAAAAGTGTGTACCATAAAGTTGGTAGGATAATGTAGAAGCTAAGCAGTACACTAACTGTACTAATTACACTGACTCTCTTAGCTCTCTATTGGCCCTGGAATCGCTTAATGTAAGTTTTCACACTGTTATCGTCGGTATTCAGAAACAATTGGCCCACTTCTCACTGTCTTCTGTCTCTATCCAGTTTTTATGGATTCTCGGCCGTGTTGATATTCGTGGGAATGAGCTCGCTAACACTGCAGCTAAGTCTGTCTGCTCTGGTGCTGTCACAGCCGTACCTGTCCAGTATATGTACTTTGGTTTTGTGTTCAAGGCCCATCTTTGTGCCAGTTGACAATAGACTTGGGGTAAGCAACTTTATAACAAGCTTTTCCAGAACAAACCTACTGTTGGTTTTGGCCGTCTAGTTTTTGTAAGTTGTCCTATGTAGGCTACGCACTGGTCACAGTTTCTTGCTCATCATTTTATTTTATGTGGGTCTGATCCGCCAATGTGTGGCCTTTGTGACACTTGGATCACAATTGCTCGCATTTTACTTTCACGACACCGTTACGAACGTCAGCGATGGCACAATTTTAGTCATTTATTTTTTAATGGTTTACCCCTGATGTTGGACGGTGTCACTGGTGATGGTGACACAGTCCAACTTGAATGTGTTTCTATTTTTTCACGAGTCATTGGCCTTTTTACTTCTATTTAGATTTTTACATACTTTTTGAGCATTGTTTCGTTTTTAACTTGTTTTCATTTTACATTTTATTGTATTCTATTTACAGATTTTTTACAGGTTGTTTGACGCTAATAGCCTAGTTGCTTTGTGCCAATTTAAGCCAAATAACCAACAAAAAAAAACGTTGTGCTAACTGTTCAGGTGACGTTAACACTGGAGTAGGATATAAAAGATTGTGACAACTCTAAGAATGTGAATTTGTTATAACTGATTTGTGACTTATATACTAAGGTGTGAGAGAATATGATAACTCTGAGGGAGGAGCGGTTTTGATAACCATCTTGTTGGCTTTAATACTGTTTGAGGATGTGAGAGAATATGATAACTATGAGAAAGGAAAAGATGTGATAACTGTTCAGATGACTTTAATGATTGTAAGATGGGAGAGAGTGTCATTATTTGAGGAAAGTGAGGTTAAGACAACTTTCTTTGTGACTTTAGAGGTTTTGATAGAAATCTTTGTGGGTGGGTGTGAGAGAACATGATAAATTTGAGGGAGTATAGGTTGCGATAACTGTTCAATTGATTTAATACTTTGGTACAATGTCAGAGAATGTCACATTTTTAAGGGATTGGTTTGAAGTTAAGCACAAAGCAACACAATGGGCTATCTGTGCTCTGCCTACCACGGGTATCGAAACCCGGTTTCTAGCATTGTAAGTCCGCAGACATACCTCTGTGCCACTGGGAGGGCTAAGGGATTGGATGTGGTGACAACCATCTTGGTGATTTTAATACTGTGGGATGATGTATGAGAATGTGCAAAACTGTAAAAGAAGAGAAACTATGAGAACAGTAGAAATGAATTCAATAGTGTGGTAGGATGAGAGAGAATGTGACAATTATGAGGAAGGAGAGGGAGTGACAATTGTCTTATTGACTTTAATACTATTGTTGGACGTTAAAGAGAGTAACAACTTTGAGGTTGGAGTATTTGTTTGTTGTTAAGCACATAGTTTCACATTACCTCTATATACTGTGCCCACTTTTAGAGGAGGGCAAGATAAATGTTTATGAAATCAGCGTTGGTAAGACGTGAATGGGAAAACATTGAGTTAAGTGAGGACATGACAAAGGTTTTGATGACTTTAATATTGGAGTATTATGTGAGAGAATGTGGCAACTCTGTGGGAGAAGATTTTGTGACCTTATGTGCTTGAGTTTAATACTGCGGTAGGATGAGAAAATGTGATATCTATGAGGGAGGAGAGAGTACGATATTTGTTTTAGTGACTTTAATACTATGTTCATGTATGAGAGAATACGAAAACTTTGAGAAAGAACAGAAAGGGACAACTCTGGGGAATTAAAGGTTGTGACTACCGTTCAGGTGACTTTAATACTTTAGTGGAACAGTTGAAAGTGTTACAACACTGGGAGAGTAAAGCTACAATGATTTTGATGACTTCAATACTGTGGTAGGATGTGGGAAAATGTTACAACTCTGAGCAGGGAGAAGTTGTGGTTATTGCCCAGGAGACTTTGATACTATGGTATGGTGCTGAATAATGTAACATGTATGAGGGAGGAAAGATATTGAGTACTGTTTCTGAGACTTTAACACGTAGTAGGATGTTAGACAATGAGACAATTCAGAGTGAAGAGAGGCTGTGACATTTGAGGACTGTATGTGAATGTGAGATAATGTGATAACTCTGAAGGAAAAGCGGAAGTGACAGTTCCGAGGGAGAACACGCTGTGACAACTGTTTAGTAGACTTTAATAATGTGAGAGAATCGGACAACTATATGAGAGAAGTAGTGACTACTGTTTAGGTAACTTTAATAGCGTGTGAGATAATGTGACAATTCTGAGAGAAGTGAGGCTGTGACAACAGTCTTTTTGACGTTAATATTGTGACAGTAGCATATGAGAGAATGTGACTACTTTGAGGGAAGAGATGTTGTGACAACTCTCTTTGTTACTTTCGTACTGTGGTAAGATGTGAGAAAATGAGAGAATTCCGAGGAAGAATAGTTTATGACAACTGTTAGTATTGTATTAGGATGTGAAAGAATCTGACAACTCTGAGGAAAGAATGTGACAACTGTCTTTGTGACTTCTAGTATGATGGAAGAGGTTGTGTCAACTCATTGCGTTATTAAAGAATATGGAAAACGAAGTGACAAATTTTTAGTGACTTTCAGGCCATCCTAAGGGAAGATCTGATAAAATCTGCTTGGTTTACGGCTTTAAGGTTGTACTTAAAATGAGTTTTTGTATTAGGTAAAATGTACATCTATTTACATACATTTTGAACAAATACATTTATATATCTATTTTTCGCAGATTGAGTATTTCTAACATACTTTGAGTCTCACTTTATCTACGTGAAGAATATATTGTCATTAATAATTGATACATTTGTCATAAATAAAGAATTTCATGCCGTATAATTTTTTCAATGTATTGATTACATGGAAATATTGTACTTTAAAAATAATTAAAATGATTTATATTTTGAGGCACGTTTAGCTAATATGTAAATGTTAGCTTGATTTAATTATAAGAAATATCAACCTTATTTTCAAACTAGAGCTTTTTATTTCAGACAAAGTAAAATGATTGTTTTGTTAAACAGAGTAGTTTCAAAATCTAGTCTTTGAAATTTCCAAGATATCTTTTTCTTAAACGCCAAGAACAGCTGAACTTTCTTCAGTGTCATTGATTAAATTAGGATGTATCTAATATACTGTCTTCTGACAAATAGTGAAAACGTTGAAAAATACCTCGAATATATTATTATCTTAAATTGTTCTGATGCAGAATCCTTGTGTATTTGCTCCCCAAGATAAGAGAAACAAAATTGGAGTTTTCCTATGAGTAATTTCCTTAGTTAACCTTTCGTTTCCTAAGCAGGAAGAAGTATTCCTTCTGGAGAAAAAACAACAAAAAACAGTTTTTGTTGAGCAAAATGTCATTTCAAATGGGCTCAAATCACGTTGCTCTTGTATGCGAGCACAAGTCACTGCTTTAATTACTTTGAGTTCTTACTAAGCGATCATTATTTTCTGACAAATGATATGTTATGGAATTGAAGTAGATCGTATAGGAAAACACATGTCATGCTCACTAATAATTCAAGCTTAGTCTTTTAGAATAGTTATAATAACATTTGATTCATAGACTATACTTTCAGAACAACTGTCTAAGGTTCTAGGGTGCAACACTAATTTACTGGTTTTAATTCTATTGTTAATATTGATGACATACGATAGGATGTCATTCCATGGCAGGACGTTAAGTTTGTTTGTTTGTTTGTTTTTAATTATGCACAAAGCTACACAAGGGCTATCTGTGCTCTGCCCACCACGGGTATCGAAACCCGGTTTCTAGCGTTGTAAGTCCGCAGACATACCGCTGTGCCACTGGGGGGCAAGGACGTTAAGAAACCACCGACTAACATGCTTAAATTTATTTATATAATATTCACAACGACAAAATAATATTCCCAACAAAGTTGTCGAGAATTATAAGAAAAAGTAGTTTTAATAGTATCAGGTGTCATTTATCGATCATTATTATCTTATTAAAATGTTTGAAAGTTTCCATAAACACTGAGTGACTTTCCAAAGAAAAATAAAAAGTTAGTTAATAAAATTTAAATATACTCTATGTTTAAGCAATGAACTACTCTTTCTATCGCACAAAGTGTATCGCAGAAGAATTTGGGGTCGCTGCAAGGATTAAGCCCAAAATTTGAGCGTTAAATTAATTTGAATTAAACCAAAATTTCTTATAGTTCATATGAGTATAAATTTAAATTGCGCATCTTAAAACACAATAAACATATCCTTCGTGTATATAATAATATATGTGAATAATGTGCATTTTAAGGCAGTTAGGTGACTCAGCAGATAACTATGGATATGTCAACGCCATTCCACTTGTGAAGTGTATCATGAAATATATCAATCTTCAGTGGTAAGTCTGAAGACTTAATGATGCTAAAACCCACGTTTTGATACCCGTGGTAGGCACAACACAGATAGCTCATTGTGTAACCTTTCAACAACAAAAACAATATTACGCGAATATATTTTCCATAGCACGGAAACTTTCAGTATAATTAGAAATTGCAACAGTTGGCTAGTTATGTATTGTGCAAAACTCTTTTTACCAAGACAATTACATGTTATCTTTATTGACCTCTTAAAAACTAAAACTTATTATCAGGAAATATACGTATACAGTATGTTAATCTTAATAAAGACCCTAAACATATAATATTTTATTGCTTAGTTTCACAACATCTATAACACCAGAGTGTATGTTGTCAAAATTATCTGTATATTAATAAGTAATGAACAGTTCGCTGCAGGTACATCCTTGTATGTTTTTATAACTCATTAGAAATAAATCGAATACTTCATTCCATTATGTGACTTGTGTATTATCTACTGCATGGAAAAAACTCATTTAGTCACACAATATTGTAGCTGAAGTATTACATTTACCCATGATAAATCACAGCTTTCTAAACTTTGTTTTATGTTTCTAGGACTTTATTACATATTGTGGTTTTGGCAAAAAGTTAAATGTCAGATGCACTCACTATATTTATTCTTCACAAGGACTTCTTTCCACTTTTATTGTACCTGATGATGACAAAACCTTGTCGAAACGTTGTGCATTTGCTGTTATGATAAACTTATATTAAAGTTTTCTTCATTAGCCATTCAAGCCGTCTCCAAGAATTCTTAGTCTCAAAATGGGTTCCTCGTCATCGAATTCGAAAGTGGAAGGCATAAGTATGTATAAAACCTGTTAGACATAGTTAAAAACGTTCATAGTTAGCTCATTTAGTAACAAAGACTTCTACTATATTTTTTTTACTTGTAACAAATAGTTTTAACTGATTAAATTTTATTTATTTATTGTAAAACACTATCGCATATTCAAGTAAAAGTCATTTACACGAAGTCAGCATGTACAGATTTTACTCAATCTTCAGTCATCATCAAGCTCATTCAAACTTATACTAATATAGCAAGTAATATTTTGAAACTTCCAACCCTAAATCAAATTAAAAATCAGTAATTAAGAATCGAAATATTTTTTATCTATCAAGTATCTTTAAGGTTTTTAATACTAAATAATATTTTATTCCAAGAACTAGTCACACAAAACGATATTATGCAGTATTGCTTGAATAGAGAAGTTTGTTTGAAATTTTACTCCGAATATTTTAAGCAAGTAAAGAAGAAAGGTTCGGTTTGTAAAGAAAGTGCCCATCAATTGGTACTTTTGTTCACCATGTTCGTCAAAGCTACTTTTACTAGGAAATTAACTCTTTTGTCTTTTATGTGGTAGTTAGAAAGACACTTCAGTACTTTTGTAAGTTAGGTACCACCATTCTGACAAAGGGCAGACCGTTCTTTGTATGTGCTTTGCTTCTTTGACACGCCTGTTCGTTGTAGAAGACTATTCAATAGACAATAATGCTTTTTCTAGCTCAACATCGC